CAATAGTGATTGCTGGATCATATAGTACTTCTATTTTTAATTTTTTGAGTAAACTTCATACTGTTTTCCATAAGGGCTATACTAATCTACTTTCCCACCAATAGTAAAGAAAGATTCCTTTTTCTCCATATCCTGATCAAATTTTTTTATCTTTTGACTTCTTTAGTAGCCATTCAGACAAATGTGAGGTGTATCTCACTGTGGTTTTAATGGGCATTTCCCTTATGAATAATGATTTTGAGCATTTTTTCATATCTGTTGGCAATTTGAATGTCTTCTTGTGAGAAATGTCTATTCAAGTACTTTGCTCTTTTTAAAAATTGGGTAATTTGGCAGTTTTTTGCTACTGAGTTATTTGAACTTCTTATATACTTTGAATATTAACTCCTTGTCAGATGTATGGTTTGCAAATATTTTCTCCCATTTTGTAGGTCATCTCTTCATTCTGTTGGTTGTTACCTTTGCTGTACACAAGACTTAGTTTAATTTAGTAGTACTTGTTAATTTTAGCTTTTGTCAATTGTGTTGTGGGAGTCATATCTAAAATATTATTGTGCATACCAATATCATGCTTTTCCCCTGTGCTTTCTTCTATTAGTTTTATAGTTTCTGGTCTTCTGTTTATGTGTTTAATATATTTGGAGTTGATTTTTGTATATGGTGTGAGATAAGGGTCCAATTCTATTCATCCTCATATGGATATTCAGGTGTTCCAAAACCATTTATTGACGAGATGGTCCATTCCACATTGTGTGTCCTTGGCACCTTTGTCAAAGATCAATTGACCATGAATGTATCAATTTACTTCTATGTGTCTATTTTTATGCCAGTACCATGCCATTTTTGATTACTGTGTCTTTTTATTGCATTTTAAACTTTAATTGACATAAAATAATTGTACATACTTATGGAGTACACAGGGATGTTTTGATAAATATAATGTACAGGTATCAGATCAAGGTAATTGACATATTCATCATCTCAAACATTTATGTTTATGTTGAAAACATCAAATATCCTTCCAGGTATTTGAAACTATATATTATTAAATATAGATATATTATATATCATTATATATTATTGTATATTATATATACTATATTTTATATTATATATTATATAAATTTTATATTATATAATATATACAATAATATATAATGATATATTTAATACATAACATATATATATTATCATACATTATATAATATATAATATTATATAATAATTATATTTATAATTATAAATATAGAAAATATAAATATATTTATATTGCAAATATATTTATAATTATAAATTAAAATTTAAATATAAAAATATAAATATTATTTATACATAAATATAAATATAATTGTAAATAAAATATGTATAATTATATATTAATAATATAAATTATATATAATTATAATTATCTGTATAATTATATATTTATATAAAGTATTATATATGACATATTACATATATCATATATAATTAAATTTCATAATTATATATGTAATATATCATATATAATATATATCATATATAATTATATATAATAAATAATATATGATTATGTAATATTAAATATATATTATTAAATATAGATATTCTACACTGCTATAGAACATTAGAACGTGGGGGTCAGCACAGTGGTGCCCGCCTGCACTTTGGGAGTCGGAGGTGGGCAGGTCACCTGGAGTCAAAAGTTTGAGACCAGCCTGGCTGAGATGGTGAATGAAGCCCCATCTCTACTAAAGTAAAAAACAAAAACAAAAACAAACCAGTTGGCTGGGCCTCCTGGCCCAGGAGTGGTGGCACCTGTCTATAATCCCAGCTACTCAGAAGGTTGATGGAAGGAGAACCTGGGAGGCAGGGGTTGCAGTGAGCTGAGATTGCGCCACTGTACTCCAGCCCGGGTGACAGAGCGAGACTCCATCTCAAGGAAAAAAAAAAAAAACACCCCAAACTTATTCCTCCTGCCTGGCTGTAATTTGAATTACTTATCAAAACCTCCTTGAGTTTTTCGATTATTTATCAAAACCTTCTCCCTACCCTTCTCAGCCTCCATTATCCTCTGTTCTACTTTTTTATTTCTATGACATTAACTTATTTTTAGCTTTCACATATGAGTAAGAACACTACACACAGTGTTTATCTTTCTGTCCCTGGCTTATTTCACTTAACACAATTACCTCCAGTACCATCCATGTTGCTGTGAATAACCGGGTTTCCTTCCTTTTTTATAGTTGAACAGTATTCCATTGTATAGATAGTCTACATTTTCTTTATCCAGTCATCTGTTGTTGGGCACCCAGGTTGATTCCATAGTTTGGCTATTGTGAATCAGGCTGCAATTGGCTATTGTGAATATTGTGCAATCGTCTCATGGGATTGCAGATGTCTCTTCAATATATACTGATATCCTTTCCTGTGGATAAATGCCCAGTAGTGGGATTGCTGGATCATATGGTAGCTCTATCTGTACTTTTTTGAGAAACTTTTGCTCTGTTTTCCTTAGTGGCTGTACTAGTTTACATTGTCGCCAACAGTTTATGAGAGTTCTCTTTTCTCTGCATCCTTATCAGCATTTGTTATTTCTTGTTTTCTTGATAATAGCCATCCTAATTAGAGTACGAAAATACTTCATTGGGTTTTTAATTTGTATTTCTCTGATAATGAGTAATGAACATTATTTTCATATATTTGTTGGCCATTTGTATGTCTTCTTTTGAAAAATGCCTCTTCTAGCTAGAGCAATGAGGAAAAAGAAAGAAAGGGCATCCAAATTGGAAAACAGGAAGTCAAATTGTCCCTGTTTACAGATAACAAGATCTTATATAATCAGCTGGAAACCATCATTCTCAGCAAACTATCACAAGAATAGAAAACCAAACACTGCATTTTCTTGCTCATAGGTGGGAACTGAACAATGAGATCACTTGGACTCGGGAAGGGGAACATCACACACCGGGGCCTATTATGGGGAGGGGGAAGAGGGGAGGGATTGCATTGGGAGTTATACCTGATGTAAATGACAAGTTGATGGGTGCTGACGAGTTGATGGGTGCAGCACACCAACATGGCACAAGTATACATATGTAACAAACCTGCACGCTATGCACATGTATCCTAGAACTTAAAGTATAATAATAAAAAAAATTAAATTTAAAAAAAAGAAAATCCTGAACACTCTACCAAAAAACTCTTAGAATTGATAAAGAAATTCAATAAAATTGTAGGATGCAAAATCAACATATGAAAACTGGTAATGTTTCTATACACGAACAATAAACTAGCTGAAAAAAATCAAGAAGGCCATCCATTTACAAGAGCTACAAAACTAAACTAGACTAAAATAAAATAAAATACCTAGGAATAAAGTTAACCAAGGAGGTGAAGGATCTCTACAAGGAACACGACTAAACTCTGATAAAAGAAATTGAAGAGGACACACACAAATGAAAAGATTATTTAAATTCATTCCATGTTAATTTGTTAAGATTGCCATACTACCCAAGGTAATCTACAGAGTCAATGCAATCTCTAGCAAAATACCAATGACATTCTTCACAGAAATAGAAAAACCTTAAAATTTGTATAGAATCACAAAAGGCCCCAAATATCTCAAACAATCCTGGGCAAAAATTAACAAAGCTGGAGACATCACACTACCAAACTTCAAAATATAGAACAACAGATACAAGGGCCTACTTGAGGGTAGGGGAAGGAACATGAGAATCAAAAAACTACCTATTGAGTGCTATGCCTATTACCTGAGTAGCAAAACAATCTGTACACCAAACCCCCACAACATACAATTTACCTATATAACAAATCTACACATGTACTCCTGAACCTAAAAGTTAAAAACAATATAAGTATAAAACTACAGTAATCAAACAGCATGGTACTGGCATAAAAATAGAAACAGACAAATGAAACAGAATACAAAAACCCATAAATTCATTTGCGTATCTACAGTCAACTGGTTTTTGACAAAGGCACCAAGAGCACTCACTGGGGAAAGGCCAGTCTCTTCAGTAAATGGTGCTGGGAAAACTGAATATCCATCAGCAGGTGAACGAAACTAGATCCCCACCTCTTGCCCTATACAAAATTCAAAATGGATTGAAGACTTAAATTTAAGACCGAAAACAACAAAACTACTAAAAGAAAAAATAGGCAAAATACTTCAAGAGTTGGTCTGTGAAATCACTTTATGAATAAGATCTCAAAAGCACAGGCAACAAAAGCAAAAATAAACAAATGGGATCATATCAAACTAAAAAAGCTTATGCATAACAAAGGAAACAAAAGAGTGAAAAGAGCCTACAGAAAAAGAGAAAATATTTGCAAACCATTTATTTGAAAGATAATTAATACTCAGAGTATACAAGGAATGCAATCACCTCAAATAGCAAAATAACAATCTTATTTAAAAATGGTCAAATATATCTGCATTATATTTTTAGATCAGGTGGCATGATGCCTGCAGCTTTGGCAGCTTTGTTTTCATTTTTCTGTTGTTGTTTTCTTCATTATGTATTTATTTATTTATTTATTGCTCAAGATTGCTGTGGTTATTTGCAGTCTTTTGTGGTTCCATACAAGGTTTTGGATTTTTTTCCTATTTCTATGAAAAATAACATTGGAATTATGGCAACTGGTGGCCCCTGCCTTTCCCCCTTCCCCTTTCCCCCTTCCCGTTTCCCCTTTCCCCCTTCCCGTTCCCCCTTCCCCCTTCCCGTTCCCCCTTTCCCCCTTCCCATTACATCGCCCCTTCGTTCCCCCTTCCCCCTTCCCGTTCCCCCTTCCCCCTTCCCGTTCCCCCTTCCCCCTTCCCCCCTTCCCGTGCATCCTTCCTTCGGATTCCTTCCCCAGGGAAGGAAGGCGTGTGGAATAGATAGAACAAGGACAGTAGTAAGTTTGTGGTGTTTGAAATTTTGCATTTGTAGAAAAGTATCAGGACTTATGATGACATTTGTTGTATTGGCATTTGCAGTGCTCTGGGTGGGTTATTTTTAGAGACTTGAGGATCGCGGGACAGCCAGGGTCTGGCAGGCACAGGGCCTAAAACTTTAAAGATAGGGAAAATAGGGAAGTGTAAAATTTTAGCAGCAGAAGATGTGAGTAAGCGCCCATTCATTCATGTATTAACCACACTGCTGTCCAGGGTGGGCACATGAAGCCATATTCTTTTTTTTTGATCCCGTACATCCTTCCCCCTTCCCGTTCCCCCTTCCCCCTTCCCGTTTCTCTTTCCCCCTTCCCCCTTCCCCTTTTCCCCTTCCCCTTTCCCCTTTCCCCTCTACGGGCTGCTTCCCCTCTCGCACCTCCTCCGCCTCCCGCTCCCCTCCTCCGTGACCGCGGCCGCCATCTTAACACACCTACCGCCACAAAGAGCGCCCTCGCTGGCCCGCGCCCTCCCGGGCACCACCGGCAACCGCTGAGAGGCTGTGCGGCCCCACGCGTGCCTCTAGGTCGGGATGGCCACGGGCTGCCGGGGTCACGGGACCGCCAAGGTCTGGCAGGCACAGGGGCCTAAAACTTTTAAAGATAGGGAAAATAGGGAGAATAACAAAATTTTATGGCAACAGAGAAAGATGTGAGTAGCGCCCATTCATTCATGTGTTAACCACTTGCTACTGTCCAGGGTAGGCCACACATGAAGCCATATTCTTTTTTTTTTTTTTTTTGAGACGGAGTCTCGCCCTGTCGCCCAGGCGGGAGTGCAGTGGCCGGATCTCAGCTCACTGCAAGCTCCGCCCCCCGGGTTCCCGCCATTCTCCTGCCTCAGCCTCCCGAGTAGCTGGGACTACAGGCGCCGCCACCGCGCCCAGCTAGTTTTTGTATTTTTTAGTAGAGACGGGGTTTCACCGGGTTAGCCAGGATGGTCTGGATCTCCTGACCTTGTGATCCGCCCGTATTCTAAAGACAGAAATCTATCGCCATCAGTGATAGACTGGATAAAGAAAATGTGGCACATTACACCATGGAATATTATGCAGCCATAAAAAGCAGTAAGTTGAAGCTGGAAACCATCATCCTCAGCAAACTGACACAGGAACAGAAAACCAAACACCGCATGTTCTCACTCATAAGTGGGAGTTGAACAATGAGAACTCATGGACACCGGGAGGGGAACATCACACACCCAGGCCTGTGGGGGGTGGGGACAAAGGGAGGGAGAGCATTAGGACAAAATACTTGATGTATGCGGGGCTTCAAATCTAGATGACAGGGAGAAAGGTGCAGGAAACCACCGTGACACATGTATACCTATGTAACAAACCTGCACTTTCAGCATATGTATCCCAGAAGTTAAAGTAAAACAATATATATATATTTTATCCCAGAACTTAAAGTTTTATATATATGTGTGTGTGCGTGTATATGTGTGTTTGTGTGTGTGTGTGTGTGTATATATATATACGAATGAAAGAAATCTACCTCATGATGCACAGCTTGGGAAGACAGCAGATATCAAAGACTTAGAGAGAGAATGTCAAATCACAGCGGAAATAGGCACCATCACAGGCCAATGGGGCTGGGAGAGCATCTAAGCAGAGAATTAGAGCTCCTCTGCAGCATTCTTAGGCCTAGGTGATCTGGACTATGTCCACCACAACAGGAAAATAATCATTACTGTAGGAAGGCAAAGCAGACTCAAAATCACAGGGAGTTGCATATCCAGACGTTATAAGATCTGAAATTGTTATCGGGAGTAACCCCGATTTTCTTGGCTGTTGTTTTTGCCTCTCTAAACATATCTAATAGCTTAGCCATGTGATAGAAAGGCCCTGTAGCTACTTTCTCTTCATGCCAAAGGTCGAGCAAAGCTTCATCTCGCTGTGTGTGTTTTCAGCCTCTCAAAATTTTGCCCAGCCTTTACCCCTCTGCCCAAGCTTTTCCCTTATGTGTTTCAGGACACAGTTCACTGTAGTTTCCCTCCTAGATCAGGTTCTCATCTTCTCCCAGCCTTCACTGGTTTTGTTTAGTTTTGCTTTCCTCTCAGCCTTCATTCTGGTCTTTCTCTCTCTTTTTCAGGTTTATTCCTCTGCATCCTCTCAAATACAGCTTAGATATTTCCCTTTCCAAAAAATATTATATTGCCTCCCTATACCCAAATTTATTCTAAGCTCTTTAATATGAGTACTTTTACTCCGTGCACCCAGGAACTTGTTTTAATATTAAAAAATATATGTATTGATATATAGTAAAGTTGAGTTTTAATATATCTGTCTCTTTCCAGATGACAAGGATGCACACTATGCTAGGAAATGTTAGTAGATTTGGGGAAGAAAAGAGGAAAAGAGACTTGTTTGGTTTTAGTTTTGTCTTATTGGTGTTGTGACATTCACATAACATGAAATCAACCATTATAGCTTGTACAATTCAGGCATTTAGTACATTCACAAGGTTGTGCAACTATCACCTCTACCTAGTCCCTTTAATTTGAGAATTGATTCTACATGTCACCTCACATAGCATTTCAGATATCACCTTTGTTAAGAATGACCATACATTTGGTTTTCCTGGGAGTGTCCACGTTTATCTCCAATGTCCCAGCATCCTATCCAGTTGTCAGAAACAAAGGAGCTCCCACTAGGGTGATACATACAAGGCATACTTCTTCCCAGTGTCTACAAGTGGAACACTACTGGCCTTACCACACACTCGATCTGGGCATAAGGGCACTTCTCAGTAGCACTCCAATGAGTGCCACCAGATTTTTCATGAGAACTCTTACTCTAGATGCCCAATATTATTGCCAGACTATGTAACCACATGGTTTAGATGATTATGAAAAGCTGATGTTGTATGTGAGAATAACTCTTCTAATTTGAAAGACGCTATCTACTAATTTGTAGTTCCCAGAATGCCATCTTCATATCCTTATTTCTTAGGCTATAGATGAAGGGATTCAGAGTGGGTGGCATCACAGTGTAGAACACTGAAACCAGCAAATCCAAGGGTGATGGAGATTTAGGCAGAGGGCGTAAATAGGCAAAAAACCCTGAAGAGAAAAATAAAGTTACAACAATGAGATGAGGCAGGCATGTGGAGAAAGCTTTGGACTTGCCTTCTTTGGAGGGCATCCTCAGCACAGTGAAGAATATGTGAATGTAAGAAATGTCAATAAACACAAAGCAGCCAAAGTCCAACACGAGGTTGAGCCCAGTGATTACCAATTCACCAGTGTTGTAAGAACAGGCAAGGGAGAGCAGTTGTGGGATATCACAAAAGAAATGATGAACCTCAGGAAACCCACACATGGGTACAGAGAAGGTGCAAGCTGTGTGCAAGATTGCATTGAGGCTTCCACTGACCCATGAAGAGACAGCCATCTGCACACAGGCTTCATGACTCATTATGACCTCATATCTGAGTGGGTGGCAGATGGCAACATAGCGGTCATCGGACATGACTGTGAGAAGAGCTATTTCTGTAGTGGCTAAGAGAAAGAAGAAAAAAACCTGACACACACATCCAGGGAATGAAATGGTGTTGCAATTCATCAGGGAGTTTGTGATGGACTTAGGAACAGTGATGGAAATGAGACACAGATCTAGGAAAGATAGGTTCTTTAGGAAAAAGTACATGGGCATGTGGAGCCGATGATCCTTGATGATGAGGGTGATGATGAGAAGATTCCCCAGCAGTGCCACCAGGTAAATTAGCAAAAAGAGCACAGAATGTAGGATCTGGGTCTCCCGAATGTCAGAGAACCCCATGAGGAAGAATGTTCTCCCAAAGGTGAAGTTGTTCATTTCTTTGGACATTTTACCAGTTGCTGTAAAAAATAAAGTAAGCAGTTGTAGACTTGGACAAAAGGGTTTACTGTTTTATTTTCTTCACTTATCTTTCTCCCACTCACATGTGCATCCGCCAAAAAATTCAAGAGCATCTCAGACAACGCCAAGGAACAAGGAGGACTTTAACAAAAGCATTTCCTCTGCTCATCCAATCTTCATTCTTATGCCAGAGTCAGGAAAAATTGTGAAAAACTTTGTAATAAGAAAATAACAACAGTGAAAAATACTAAGTGTCCTGTCTAGTTGTATTTTATTATCTTTGAGCTACTTTACAATTCTGGAAGTTGTAGGAAGCAGTTAATATGCAAATTATTCTTTCTCAAAAAAATACAAATTAGTTATATTCTGATGTAATGTAATTGATTATTGTTCTGTAGGTAGACCTATTTTACATCTATTTGTAAATTTATTTCAGCTTTCTTTATCTGCCCTTATATGTGTGGTACTTTGATTTCACTGTGGTACTTTGACTTCTCTTCTGAACCAGTTGGAATATCTTGCAAATTCCCCCATTAATTATTGAGTTAAATAAAATCTTTGACCTGTGTTTATATTCATATGAGACTCATGATTTTAACCTGTTTTTAAAAAAATACGCTTTAGCATCTGCCATGGATAGTGATTGCTGACACAGTCAAATTTTACGGAAAAAACTTGTGAGATCTTAGAAACATCACTCTAATTTATCTAACACATAGAAAAAATATCAGTTTTCATTCCTTTTGTTGTATTACATTTTGTTCAATGAAAACTTGTCCCTCAGTAGAACTGAAATATCTGAATTGTGCAACATAATATTCACATTCATTTATTATACGTTAAAGTCTTTACCTTCTAGCAAATTTCTCAGCATTAGTGCTGTCACCTTTCAGCAACTGCTCCGTGTGTTTTTAGTCAAGGCTCCTATTTAGTTAGCTGGGACAACAAGCTCTCATTTTGGTTCATAGCTGTCTGGCTGGCTCTCCCTTTTGTTGTTCTTCCTGCCCTGAGCTTTCACCACTGTCCATATTCCTTCCATCCTCTGTGGGTTACGTCATCATCTGCATGACTGAGAATAGCAAATTAATCCTGTATTTCTCCACCAAGCTGCTTTCTGCTCATATTTCCATTCCTTCTTCCTTGTATCAGAGAAAAAATTATTTCCTCCTTTCTGAGTTTGCAGTGCAATATCTAACATTGGAAACACTCAATGTCATTTAATAAGCCATGTTTAATGTACTATTCATAAGCATTGTTGAGAGGAAGTAACCTCTGCAGGATCCCACTATGAGGCCACATCAAATAGATTCAGGATTTTCCCCAGTATTTCACATTCCTAATCTAATAACTGTTTGCTCAGTTACTTTTCCCTGAACTATATTATTAATTTTTACAACTAAGTTTTTTGTCTAGATCTTGATAAAACTTCTGCATACAAGAATTTCCTCTTGTTTCCCCTCTCTCTTCTTCATTTTGAACTCCATTATTCAGATAACCACATAAGATTCAACAAAAGTGCTGGTGTTGGCTCTAAGCGTATATGCTCAATGGAAAAACAAACCCTAGAGGCTTGTATACTATGAGCGATCATTAGATGTAATTACACAACAATGAAAATAGGGTAGAATTCACTGTTTGGCCTGGAGCATAGTCACACTTCAGAAAATAAATAAAAATTAGCTTTTCAAAATCAGTTACAGCTGAGATAGTATCCAGCAGAGTTCTCTTATCTCAAAAAGTATTTTCTCATAATCTATTTACCCGGGTCTCATTGTAATTTCTCCCACTGTAAACTTCATATTTTCTAAAAGATTGCTTCATGCAGGCTGGAGAAATCAGAAATTATATATTCTCCCTAAATCCATCTGATACGCCCTATAGTGAAACCAGCTAAGCAACCAATCAGCCAACAAACAAACACAAAATAAAATATTTTATTATCCATGATCGAGTCAATTCTTTTTTTTTTTAATCTCTTATTGGAATTTACAACAAATATCTGTTTAATATTTATCACAGTCTTCTTCACGGGCCTGACCAGCGGTTCTCAAGGTTTAGTCCTTGGCTCAGCTATGTCAGTATCACTGGGGAACTTGCTAGAAAGGCAGTCTCAAGTCCCCACCTCAGATCTGCTGAATCAGGAACTCTGGGCGTGGAGCCCAGTGAGAGGTGTTCTAACCATCCCTTTAAATAATCAGGATGCATGTTAGAGTTTGAGGACCACTGCGTTAGAATGTCCCCGATTCATAAAATTTCTTTCTAGAAGACTTTTGCATTTTTTTTCTCTCAGAAGTGGTTGTCCCTACCCCCAAATTGTTTATGCTTTTCTTCTTTTCTACTGCCAAATTCTACTTTGGGAATTCCAGCAATCAAAATTAATTTAGCATCAATCCCAAATTTCCTCTGGTAATCCAGTTACTTATCTCAACATTATTTACTACTCTGATTATACATTTTAATTTCTCAACAACTGATATTTTCCTTCCTTACAATTGTAATAAGTATGTACAATGATGTCTGTTGAACCAGATGAGGGAAGGCACAAAGTACTTCAGAAGTTCGAGGGAATCAAGGTGCATGTGATGTAGAAATGTGGGAAATGGAATAATTAACTTTTGGAAAATAGATAATATTTAGGAAAACAAAAGGGAACAGAGGTTTTTAAAGCCACTGTTCTTTTACAAGAACAGTGTGAACATAGCAGGACCTCAGCATCCTGAGCGATGTGTAGGTAGAATGCTTTGTAGCAAAGGTTCATGCATGTGGTGTGGGCTAGGAGGATGAGGGATTTCGAAAGGATGAGCAATGGGCTGAGAGGTTTAGCTTTCACCTTGCTGACAGCAAAAGGCATTTCAGTGGTTAAGGGGGAGGTGGCCTAATGAAAGTGGCATTTTCTATAACAACTTTTCTTTATATATGGTCACTTTTGCAGAGAAGATATTCTTGAGGCAGAGAAACTAGTGAGGATATTACTTAATAGTAAACCTATGAGTTATTAAAAGAAGGTTTGAAATAAATGGTCATAATAGGTATGAAAGGGAAAGAGAAAATACAAACTGACTTGAGAAAGAAGATGAATGGGAGGTTTGAATGTGTTCTTGAATAAAGCAAAGTGAAATCAATGTAAGAGCAAATGCTAGATACAGAGGGGTGAATATAAATTTTTCCGCCTTTGCTTTGAAACTAATAAGGAGGTAGAAGTAGATGCTCCCAGCAAGCCTCCTATCTCTGCCTCCTTCCCACTGTGGCTCTTCTTGTTCAGACCTGCTTGTGTCCCAGACCCCAGTGCTATAGAAAACTCTTCTGTTAATTAAAGACTTGGGAGAGAGGGCCTGCAAGAGGGTGTTCTGACCTCAGTGAGGACGATCACCATAACTTACATCTCGACATAAACTACTTATAGATATCTTTATTTATTATGAAATGCAAATGAAAACTTTACCACTAGTGTTTAGAAAGTCTTTGCATTAAGGCCGGGTGCAGTGGCTCACACCTGTAATCCCAGCCCTTTGGGAGGCCAAGGCAGGCGGATCATGAGGTCAGGAGATGGAGACCATCCGGCTAACACGGTGAAAACCCGTCTCTACTAAAAATACAAAAAAATTAGCCGGGTGTGGTGGCGAGCACCTGTAGTTCCAGCTACTCAGGAGGTTGAGGCAGGAGAATCGCATGAACCCAAGAGGCGGAGCTTGCAGTGAGCCGAGGTTGTGCCACTGCACTCCAGCCTGGGAGATAGAGCGAGACTCCTTTTCGACCAAAAAAAAAAAAAAAAAAAAAGTCTTCACATACTCAGGAGGTTGAGGCAGGAGAATCGATGTGACCGGGAGGCGGAGCTGCAGTGCAGAGCCAGGCGCCAGCCACTGCACCCAGCCCGGGGAGAGATAAGTTGAGACCCTTCACAAAAAAAAAAAAAAAAAAAAAAAAGTCTTCACATTAGCAATTCACGGTTAGAAGTGTTTATACAGGGGAAAGAATGTCTTTTTCCCTTCAAATACTAGCAGACTTCCCATAGGCTGATTCACCTTGGCTTTGATGGCTAGGCTTGGAGTGGAAGTGGTATTTGTCTCTCTTTCCTTCCTCGGACTGCTATAGAAAGGAAGATCCCAACTGTACATGTCAAAACAATGACAAATTCTTAACCATCTTAGACCAAGGCAACATATTAGAAAACATTTTTTAAATTATATTGATTCAGATAAACAAATGAACTCAAATCTCTGTTGAAAGGAAATTAAAGCTTGTATTTTGGTAAGCCTCTGAAAATATTTCTAGGCTTACAAATAATTTTGATGTAAACTGTTCACCTTTGTTAAGTATCTAAGAGGTCAGATCCATGGATTATGTGTAGGAGAATGTATCAAAAAGTTTATACAGATCAACCTCCCACACTCTAATCCTTCAATAACAACAAATTGTTGTTTTATTTTCTTCAGAATAAGGTGACCTGAGAAGGCATGCATTTTGGCAGGATGGTAAGAGGCAGGAATGACTCATGGTCTGAGAAATGTGCTCTTGGGAATGTGAGATCTAGAGCACTTACCTACACCAGTCACATTCTAAGACGTTTCCAAATACTACTGGATATAACTTATATCAGTGCTCAAAGCAAACCCTTGTATGCCAATTATATGCAGAAATTGGACCTGTGGGGAGCTTAAGCAATTAGGCCCTGGTCACACAAGTGTGGGGGCTGGATTTGAAAACAGGTGGCCACATTCCATAGGCTTCTATGTTAGAATGTCCTATACAATGTTAAGAACGCAGGCTTACTCAGCTGTATCCCAGGATGGCATCATACAAGGCTTCTGAAGAGGTGATACAGTAACCCTCCTCCCTAGCATGGTACTCTTCTTTATACAAACCGACTTCACACCTTCCTTTTTCTGAATTCCGCTAGTGGATGCCACCCATCAAAGTCCAGTGGATACCAGGGAGGTGGTGTCGCGAAGTCTCCCCCTTTCTATGGCTGTTGTGGGCTTCCAGCTAATGTCACTAACAGCTAATGTCATAACTCTCTTACTCTGTCCATGTTACTCACATTGACTCTTCTGAGCTTCAAAGTAGACCAATTATTCACAATCCAAAGACAAAAAGTGAATACTTACAGAAGTTAAGACATCCAGCTAGGGTTGCAAATAAAAGGACAGAAAAAGGTTGGAAAACAATAACAGCAGGAATTTCAATGGATTCTTTTAGC